GTGCCAGAATAATTTTCTCGAACAGCTTGCCCAGGATCGAGGTAAGGCTGACTGGCCTGTAGTTCCCCGGGTCCTCTTTCCTCCCCTTTTTGAAGATGGGAACCACGTTGGCCCTCTTCCAATCCTCCGGCACCTCTCCATCCATAGTTGGCCATCTTCATGGGCAGTGAGTGTAGCAGTGTCAGCAAAAAGAAGTTCTCTAATAAATATATGCCTCACTTTTTTGTCTTGACTTTTAGATGTGATAGATTGTAGAGTTTACCATCTGACATTGTGTGAAGGTTTCATAGATTTTATAGACATTAGGGCTGGAAGAGACCTCGGAAGATCATCGAGTCCAGCCCCCCACCCGAAGGACAGGAAGTCAGCTGGGGTCATAGGATCCCAGCAAGATAAACATCCAATCTACTCTTGAAGGTGTTCAATGTAGGTGCTTGAACCACCTCTGATGGCAGACTATTCCAGACCTTGGGGGCTCGGACAGTAAAGAAATTCTTCCTTATGTCCAGCCTGAAATGGTCTTGTAGTAGTTTATAACAGTTCGACCTCATCATCCATTGGGGTGCTCTGGTGAACAAATGTTCCCCCAGATACTGGTGGTCACCTCTGATAAACGTATAGGTGGCCATCAGATCACCCCTGAGCCTGCGCTTTTTCAGGCTGAAGAGCCCCATGGCTCTCAGCCTGTCATCATAAGGTCTGTTTTCCTGACCTCTGATCATGCACGTGGCTCTTCTCTGGACTCTCTCAAGCTTCTCCACATCCTTTCTGAATTGTGGAGCCAAAACTGGATGCAGTACTCCAGCTGCGGCCTCACCAAGACCGAGTACAAGGGGAGAGTGATGTCCTGGATGCAAGCCAGCATTTTGGTCACTTTACTAGCTGAAGCATCACATTGCAGGCTCATGTTCATCTTGTGGTCAATCATGACCCCTGGGTATATGCCTTTCTTCAAGCCATCAAAAGTGTAGCGCAGCAGTGTGAGAGGGTTCTGTACTTTTATCTTCATCTCCCCTCTGTACTCACCCGCCACAACTTGGATGTGAAGAAAAGAAAAGGGGATCAGTGTTCTTTAGTGTCTGAGAAAGATAAATGCCACCCAGATGTTAAAGTCTCACAGGGTTAATTTATTTCCAAACTAAATGCCATATAATTGTAGCAGTCTCATCAATTCTTTCATTTGTGAGAACAGCCCATTATTGAGAAGGATGCTCCCGGCAGGATACACCTTTGCAACTTTGTACCTAAATTATACTGCTATTTACCTCATTAGCAATATGTGCTATCCACTTTTCTCTTTTTGTTAGGGACAGCTTGTGCTGAGTGTGGCTCCCTGCTGTTTCTTCACAGATGGTCTCTTCACTTCAGGTATTAATTGTCCTCCCAGGGTAGGAAGCTTGAGGGAAGCTATTCTCAGTCCCCATCTTTCCTCTGAGGGGTACTAGCTCTCTCTCCCTCTCTGAGCTCCTGTCCACTGTATCCCACCACCTCACAGTGCTCCCGCAGTTGCCTGAGCCACTGGGTCATCTCCAAGGTGCTTCCTTTCTCCCCCTCTGCTTAAGGCACCTGTCTCCCAGCGTCCCGCAATGCTCCCACACTCACCCATGCAGCGGGGTTTACAAAGAAGTATTTTCCTTTTTCTGACCAACCTGCTGCCTCTCTTGAAGTCTGTCTCTTCCAGCATCCTCCAGGTATTACAGGTATGATCTCTCCTCCACCTTCTAGAGTCCCCATAGTTTTCTTCTTTGTCTTTTGGTGCCCAAAGGCAAAAATCAATGCCCCACCGCCATCTTTTATCCCCTGGTTTTTGTGGGCTAATCACCCGAATCTTTCCCAAATATGTAATGTCCGCCACCTGACAGAGTTCATTGTTGGGTCAATCCTGCCCAGCTCTGTCTAAGTAACTGGCCTCCCACCTGAGTCCCTGTTACAAGCAGCATAGAGAAGAAGATCTCTAAGAGCGTGGGTGCCAGAACACAACCCTGCTTCACTCTGTTCTTCATCTCAAACTGCAGAGGTTGATCCATCAAACTGAACTGTGGCCTGCATGTTTTCATGGAAGAAGTGTATCATACTGAGTAACGTTGGAGGGCATCCAATCTTTACCAGGACTTTGAACAAACCTGCTCTGCTAACAGTATTGAAGGCGTGACACTGAGAGAGATGCCCCTATAGTTGTTGCAGTCACCCTTGTCTGTCTTGTTTTTGTAGGGACTGATGATGTTAGCATATCACATGTCCTGGGGTACTTCCCTTCCTTCCAGCAGCTCACTAGGAGTTGAAGATGTGGTAGCAGGCTAGCCTTCCCACACTTGAGAATCTTAGCTGGGATGCCATCCTCCCCTGAGACTTTTCCACTTGCTGGAGTCTATGGCCTTGCTAAGTTCTTTGGCTGTAAGTTCTTTGTCTAGCTGTGCCACTACATTTGGAGTTGGAAGTTGATTCAGTGCCTTCTGAATTAGGAGTCTGCCAATACAGATCAAAGGAAAGAATTTGGATGCTGGTTACTTCCATTCCACACTCAGCTAATAACTGTGGAGTTCTAATCTAATGCATTGCTTTCATTAAACATTGTTTTCAGTCAGATACTGTGATTGCTTGCTGTAGAATTGTGATCTAAATTGTAATTGATAAGCTCACCAAATGTGAGAGGGGATCCATAACTACTATGGTTCATTTAGACTAAGCAAAGAAAAAAATCCTGAAATGCTATGTAAAGATTTAGAATATGATGACTAAGAATTTGTTCCTGAATAATCTGATTTGGTTTAAAAGAACTTAATGTAAATATAACCAATTGTTCAGGCATGGATCTCGTCTCATAGTTTATTGTGAAATGTATAGCTTGGGTAGAATGATTCTAACTGCATAGCTGCATGTTTGATATAGCAGGATACACATGACAAAAGAAAGAACAAGTAAACAAAGGAATTATGAAATACACGATTGAAATAGAAATACATGGAAATAAGCTTATAAAGGAAAGGTGGCTTGATTTCAATGCCTCTGGAGGAATTTCTCTCCTGCTTAGGTACTAAGTTATTGGAGTTTGTTTCCTACTTGATAAGAGAAAAGAGGAAACTTTTACACTAAAATTGTTTTGTAATGAAAAATACTTCTTCCAAGTAATGCCACTAGTGGGCACTAATATTCCAAGGCTAGTACTAAATTAGCTTTGTTAAGACTTATGCTTGTGGTAATGGTTTTATGATGTGGATACCTGATTCAACCAAACTCTTTTCCTACTGGTCATTAAACCAAATGTAAGATGTCGAATACTGTTTTTGATTGCTGACTTGACCTGAGCTTATTGATGACTTGAGCTGAGTTGGAAACCTCAAAGCCCCATTACCAACTGAAAATGTTCATGCTTTGAAAATGGATTGTTGTTGTGCTATTATCCGAGATTCCCAGAATAACCCATGTGGCCTTGGAGTCGAGACGAAGATTGATGACTATTGAAGTACCAGACTCCATTCTGTACCCTCCACTCAATGTGACCAATGGAACAGAAACATGTATCCTTATGTATGCCAGTAATTTCAGCCTTACAGCCAACAAATCAGTTCATGTGGATCTGACAAATTTTACATTTGTATCCCGTAATGTGGACTTCAGTTCATCAGCATGTTCAGCCGCCAACACAACGTGAGTGGGACGCAGAGTTTCATACCATGAAATGCATGCTATTCTAAATGCTAATTAGAAATGCTGCAATGGCAACAAACTAATAGTAATTTAATCATATGTTTATAAAACACCATGGATAAAACATGCCATATTTAATTTTTTTGTTGCAAAATCATAGAGGTGAGACTACAGGAATCCTTTGACCACGGTTTTTAAAGCGTTTTTCCTATTAATTTATTTCCTTGCTTGCTTATGAGTATGCAGTTTAAAATTAGTTTTGACTAGAAAAAGATTTCTTCATTTTCCTTTGTGCTCTTCATGTGTTATACCCAGCTTCTCTTAGCATCTGTCTAACTCTTACAACCACTGAAAATTCCATTAGCATTAGTAAGACACCAATTTCATTGAAAGATTTCCCACAAGTGGAGCCTCGGCTGTACCTGGTAATAAAGCAACTGTGAGGTCTTCTATAATTTTATTTTCTGTATGATTTTCGTGTTGAAGCATCTGCTGAAAGGAGAAAGAACATTTCTGTTTGAAATGTTTGACATGTTTGTCTAGAATATTGTATCTTTTGCTGTGAAATTCCTTTGTATTTACTGATTTAGAACATAGTTTGATTAAAACATTAAAATGTCTTAATTAAAGCTGCCCCACTGCAATGTTTAAAAATAATTTTCTTATTGTTTAGGTTGTCATTAAAATATAGTAACCCAGTGGATAACATCAACAGCCTAGAAATAAGGTAACTATGCTTTATTAATAAAACATTCTACTTGGTACATGAGGGGTAGCTATAAATTAGGACATAAGACAGAGTGAGATAAAAGTATAAATACTATTTTTAAGTCGCTTTTTTTTTTGGAGAAGGGTTGTGCTGGGTTTTTGTTGATATATTTTAAAAATGTTGCAAGTTGAATAGTACTTGGTAATTGTGCTAACTTTTCATAACTATTCTACTGTATTTTAACAGAAGAATCTTTATACATAGTGTAGGTTACATGCATATGTTTAAGAGCCTATAAACATTTTCAGACACCTACTTTTGAAAAATGCTGCTGTAAAATAATGACATTCAGAGAATGCTGGAATATGAAATGTCCTATATAGCCAATCATGCCAAAAGTGCACCCATTTCCCATGTTTATCTTGAGGTTATGTTTGGTCTATATATTCATATCTGTTGCAGAACTGTCCTCTAAACCCAGTTCTAGAGTATATCTTGTTGTGACAAAGATATGCAAGGAAATCTACTATCAACACAATAGTTTCATATGCCTGTCTGTGCTTTCAGTCTTATTATTTATGGAGCACTGTCAGTCTTGTGCAGAACAAAACAGAAAGAATGACAGTAACATTATTTTCAAAATGGCCAAAATGGCAAATTCTACATGTAATGTGTAGAATATTTTTATGGCCAGTTTGTATAGCGCCTTAAATTGTAGGCATAGCAGGTCCAGGGTGAGGCCTCAACCCAGCAATCAACTGATTGTTGGTTTCTGCCCTGAACCACACCAGGGCTGCGTTGAGACCCTGGAGCAAACCCTGGCTGGAGCCAACAATCTGTTGATTATCAAATCTGGACTTGCCCCTGTGATCACTTGGCTTTCTGTGCAGAGGGAGCCTGGGCTCCCAGCGTACTGGCAAGTAGAAATTGTGCAACTGAGATTTTATTCCCCATCCCAAAATCACACCTCCAGCCATGCACATATGACAACATCAAGAGGCACGATCATTGGGATAAGGGATCAGATCCCATTGCACCTTTAAACTAAAGTGTGCTAGGGGCCTTGGAGGCAGCAAGAAATGCAAGTTTAAATGGAGGGATATGGTTAGGAGTATTGAGATGATGGTAGCACAGGAGAGATTCCTAAGGTTACAAGTATTACTTTTTTTGACCCATAAGCAGTTAAACTCCTAACTGGTTGTAGGAGCAGGAGGTGAGGATAGCTTTAAAAATTTTGATGCAATCCTATTTATTTATGAAGGTGATTTGGAAAATCCTACTTCCCTGAACACAGCAAGAATCAAACAGAAGCCAGTTTCTTTGTGCACAACTCTGAGCATTCCCCCCTAAAAGCTCTTTCTTGACTTTTTCAGAGTAGATGTACCTCTCTGTCTGCCTCTGGTGCTTTCCTGATGCCTTCTCTGTCTGCTTCTGGGTATGTCTGCTATAGCTTCTGTGTTCTCTGGCTGCTGCTTGTTCTCACTAACACAAGCACAGAATGCATCCAACAGTACCCAGCCCCTCATGTTCTCATTCACCTCCCGGTGAAACCCCTCTACCCATATAGCATGATCAGCCTTCCATGTGGCATGTGTTTTAAGGATCTACTTGTCTGACATTTATCTTGAATAAAGGGGTGGCTAATACAGCTGTGCAAAATTTTGCCTGTTGTTTTGTTTTGACAGTTTTGACTCATTTTGAACTCAGAAAAGTGCAACCGAAACGAAATCAAGGGCTTCGAAACAAACCGAAGGGAGTTGAAATGTTTCGAAAGTTTCGAAGCTGAAGCTGGGCTTGCCTGCAGGGAAACAGAAAGTAGGGAGAGGGAGGGGGAAGCAGGGGAACGACACAGGGAGGGCGTGCCTCAACACACATGCTAGGGAAGAAGCTCCTGCAGGAGAGGAAAGAAAGGCTCTGTCATAGTTTGGCTGCTTGAGATGCTGTTGGTGCTACTGTGCTGCTCCTCACTAAGTTACTCTTTTACCTGTTGTTATTTAAAGTGGTGGACTGGACTGAGGCTGGAGGGAGGAGGATGCTTCACTGGGGCACGCTGCTGTGTCGTCTAGAGGTATTAGTGCCAGTGAGGGCGCACCTTAACACACACACACAGTCACACATGTCATGAGTTTTGCTTGTCAGCAGTCTGAGGGGCAGTTTCCCAGAAACCCCTGCACCTATCTCCTTGAAACTTGGCAGGCTTCATGCCCTCAGAAGGGGCTACCATACCTGCTCCATTCATCCAAATCTACCAAAAAATGGCAGTTATAGGCAGTTTTCATGAATCGCCTATGGGCAAGACATCGAAACAGTGCCAAAACAGTGAAACAGTTTTACGAAACAAAACAGAACAGTGCTTTTGAAATGAAACAAAACTCAAAATGAAACATTGTCCAATCAAAATGTGAAACAGAAGTTGAAATGAAGGGGTGCTGTTTCACACAGCCCTAGTGTGAATGCGCCACTCACTTTTTCCATTTCGATAAGGATTCAATTAATCCCCAGCATAACAATATTTTTCCTAGAATATATAGCAGATGAAGGCTTCTATACAATGCTGTAAATCCTAACGCACTTAAGACATATGAAGCGTGATGTTATGTTTACAAAATAGATTCAATTTGTTAAATGAAGAGACCTTTTCTTTTTTTTATGATATGGGGAGGCAGATTTTGTTAGAGCATGCAGTAGTAAATCCCAAACTCTGGGAATGCTAACAGAGAAACAGAAGACTCTGGAGTTTGAAAAAGTTAATCTCCAATTTTGATGGCTGCAGTAGGGATTAGAAGATCAAATGTAACATTGTAGATGCACATGGACTTAATGAGGATTATTCGGATTTATGTTCAGTCATCTGTTTTTTTAAAAGAGGCTCGTTTTTAATTAATTATTTGGAGATAACTTTAATGTGATCATGAATCCCAGTTGCATCTAGAGGAGAGGAAATTTAAAGCAACTCTGTGGATAGATTTTTATCATAAATTAACAGATATATGGAGAACAGCAAGCGGTGGAGCTGGAGATTTCATGTTTTCTCCCTCAATGTAGATAGTTATTTTCATTCTTGAAGCCTCACACTGAGGTAAACATAGCCCCAGTGGTTCTTTTGGATCATGCTTCTACTTAATTAGGCAATATTATTCTTAATATTATGGTAACAATTGATTATATTTAGTATTTACAATATGTGCTTTGCCTTTCTCAGGCACTTTATTACCATTAACTAATCACCCCTTGGAATATCCTGTAAGACAATTATCACCATCCTTTTTTACTGAAAGGAAAGCTAAGATGGAGAGGTTAAATGACTACTCCATGGCCACAGAGGGAATATAGGCAATATCTGCAAAGGAACATGGTTGTTGTAGTGCTCAGTATTAGGCCTGTGGGAAGCAGCTAGTATTTGCTTCAGATTCGGTTGATTTGGGGGACAGTGATTGGATTCGGTGATTTGAATCACTGTCCTGATTCAATTCAGCCAAATCAGCCAAACCAGGCCCATCCCCCGCCCCTCTCCCGGCCCGGCAATGGCTGCCCCTGCCTGCCTCAGCTCCCAGCTCTTGTTAAAAAAAAGCCCTCACTCCGTGGGTGCTGCTGGGCGAGGGGCGATCTCTGCTGCCCCCCACTGCCCCACGCTGCATTGGGGGCTCTGCACAAGCCCCCAGAGTCCCCCTCGCTCCCCTAGCCCCACCATAGATGCCCCACCCAGGCCAGCTCCAGCCCTTTAAGAAAAAAAAATGAGAAAACTCCCAGACTCACTGCTCCTGCCAGTCGAGGGTAATCCCCACTGCCCTGCACCATGTGGGGGCTCTGCACGAGGCCCCGAGGCTACCGCAGGAGCGGTGACTCTGGGGGCTTTTCTCTGCTTTTTTTTTTGCTTAAAGTGCCAGAGCTTGCCTGGGTTGGGTACCCAAGTGGGGGGACAGGGGAGTTAAGGGGGAGTCAGGGGCCTTGTGCAAAGCCCCCCTGCAATGTGGGGCAGTGGGGAGGGCAGGGCAGCCATGGGTGGACTGGGGGAACGGGGGGACCAGAGGGGCTGGCAGGGGTCCCCCCATGGTCCCCTCCCCCGCCCCTAGTACTTACCAGCTCAGAGTCAGCTGCAGCTCCCTGCTGCAGCCACCAGGGACTGCCCCAATCATCAAAGCTCTCCAAATCTTTTCTGAAGATTTGGAGACCTTTGAATCAATTCGGACCTTTAAATTGCCCCCGATTCAATTTGGATTCAGAGATTCAGCCACCGAATTGGGCCAAATCTCCTCCGAATCGAAACACCACCCAAAGCTTTGCACAACCCTACTCAGTATCGCAATGAAATCTTAGAGATCATACAGAAGTAGAGCTGGAAAGGACCACCAGAGGTCCTCTAGTCCGACCTCCTGCCTGAGGCAGGATCATCCCTCTCTAAGCCATCCTAGTCAATCCATGATTTAAACTCTTTGTTAGACTACCATAAACCCTGAGGCAACACAAGAAGTAACACCCTTACCTACTACAGGTAAAGCAGGAGAGCCACAGCAGCCAATGTCCTGCTTTTATAAATGCTTACATTTTTAGCCTGCTGTCTCCTGGAGCCCTGAATTAGTTGCCTAAAATACTTGTTCAAGGCACGGGGAGAATTAGGGGCTTCAGAACAGGATTCCTCACACCCACTCTGAGTGGGGATCAGCCAAGGTTAGCCGATAGGAAATACAGAAGAGGGGGGTGTCTTAAATTTTCTCTCTCAGTGGGGCTTAGATGCTTAACTCTAAACTGCAGGGAACTGCTCATGATACTTGCGATTTACAGCAATTCCTGGAGTTTGGTGTGTGAATTGTTCCCTTCATAAACAGAAATGGGAGCACTCTTCTTTACTGAGGCAGGCTTAATGGGAGAAGGTGCTACAGATGCTGCTGCAGCTGCCTCCTTTCTCTGCTTTCCTACAATAGCCTAGCGGTTAGAGCATTAACCCAGGAAGTTAGAGACCTGGGCTCAGCACACTCCTTCGCCTGTGGGCACTCCAACTCTTCTTCCTTGAGAGTGCC